GGCCTAGCCCCTCATTGTGACAGCCCTTTGAGGTGGTTATTGCTGTCACCATTGGGGATGACACACAGGAGGCTCAGAGATGGAAAGCAGTTTGTTGAAGGTCACACAGCGCAGGTGGCAGAGAGACCAGATGCTCACTTGTTCTGACTCATCATCTACTCCCTCTTGGCTTTCCTGGGAAAACAGTTGGCATCTGCTTTATCCAAATTCTTTCAGATAGTCACAGCTACATTTTGACTGCATGGAGTCCTCAGTTTATTCTGGGTTCTTGGCTGTGATATGAATGGTTGAGATTGTAGGAATCATGACCTTTTGGTCGTTGTTTTTGTTATTATTGTTGTAGTAGGAAAAAGGAAGTGACATTTACCAAATGCCAAATGCTTTATATAGTTCATCTCATTCAGTTCTCACAGTAGTCTTTAACAGAAGGAAGCATCATCATACCTATATTGCGAGTGGGGAAACTGAGGCTTAGAGAAGGAAATAGCAAGTAAGTGGCAGCACTTGGATTTGAACCCAGGGCTCCCTGGCTTCAGAGCCCAGGTTCTCTTAGTAGTACCACAGCTGTTCTTTTCACTACTAATGTTGTCCTTAAAGTCATAGAAGTCCCATCCCGGGGCTGCCTCCTCTGGAGGTCACTGCAGTTGAACGGGGAAAGTGCAGCTGAGGATGCAGCCTCTGGGAGGGACAGGCAGGGGTTGGCCCAGTTGGACGTGGTTCCTCCTGGGCCTGGTGCCGCAGTGGTCAGGTGCAGGAGGGGTGGCTGCTTTGGTCCCTCCAGGCTAATTACTGCCTATTTTAGGCTTGATGTTTAAATATCAATGTCATGGACTGGGCACACTAGCTCACATCCCAGAGGTCCCTGGAGGTTTCTTGCTGTTGTTTTGTAAATGAAGACTCAGGCTGAGCGGGAGATAGGGACTTGCCCAGGTTTACTAGCCAGTCAGGAGCCAAGTGGATGCAGGTTTTAGGTGACCATGTCTCTAGGCTGCTGGAATTATTTTCCTTCTTATTCAGAAACTTCTGTGCCAAATCCCCAGATTCACACAGGAAGGCTTTTAGGTGCAGGGACAAGACAGAGATGATGAGGACTAGGGGTGGGGCTTCAGGGGTGCCTGGTTTACTTAGAACTGGCTGGCCAGGCTGACTGTCCCAGCCAAGCTACAGAACACACTGTGTGATGTTGGTCCTAGGGACGTAGTCCTGGCCCTGCTGCCTCTCTGTTTGACCACAAAGTCACAGGTCACTTCTCTTCTTGGGGCCTCAGCTTTCTCATCAGTAAAATGGAGATGGTGGTCTTGTCCTCCTGGCCTCACAAAACTTTTGAGAGGGATACAGTAGAAAGCATTTGAGACGGTGTAGATTCCAGGTACATGTGCTGTAAACCTGCTCAGTGGCGAGCCTCTGCCCCCTCGGAGACATGACAAAGGGCAGGTGGAGAGAGGCAGCAGAGACCCAGGCCTAGCTTTGGGTCCTGAGTCCGGGTTGACATCTGTCATTACCTCTGGGCCAGTCATCTAGCCTTGGGCCTGTCATCCTCTCTCTCTGGGCATTCATCTTCCCACCTGCAAAATGCTGAGCCCTGAGAGCCCTGGTGTCCCCTTTGTTCTGTTTCTTGGCATGGCGCAGTGTCTCAGGACCTCCTGGGTAGACAGAGTTGTCAGGTTTGGTCCCTGCTGGCATCCTCTCTCTATTCCCTCCTCTGTCTTTGGGTGACCCAGACATCCCCAAGGCCAGGTCATCACCCCAGACATTTGGGCCAGAGTTCTGGCCTTTTGCTTCCAAAAAGCTGAGGGGGTTGGCATTAGGGTAGCCAGGACCAAACCCCTCCCTCTGGTTTCAAGAGTTCCTTCTTGAACTCTGAAATCCTAGCATGCCCTGCTTCCTGGAGGACAACTTCTGGGGGCACATTGCATCTGGTCCTGGGCCTTTCTGGTTCCTGTTATCCTGCATGGTGCCTGGTTCATCAAACTGCACAGGATTCTCTGAGGCCCAGCATTGTCTAGCCCCCAGGAAGACTGTAGAAGGAACAGCCCACCCATTAGGCTGGATGGTTAAGTCAGCCTGGGGAAAGGACAGCCACGGCTTGTGGCTCAGAGGCCCAGGATGGGTGGGAACCCAGAACTCAGGTGGCTCCTGGTTCCAGGATGCTGCATGTCCTTGGGGACCCAGGTTTCCTGGGGAGGGAGAAGGGCGGGATGAGCCCCCACACCACCTTCAGCCAGAGCAGCTCTGTCACTGCATGTAATGGGACTTCTGCATATAAGGGCCTGTTGGAAGAAAGGACTCCACGTCTGAAAAGGTGTGGAGGCCCTTTTGTTAATTTTCCTAGAACTGCCATAATAGAGCACTGCAGACGGGGGACTTGGACAACAGGCATGTATTCTCAAAGTTCTGGAGGCTGCAGTCCAACATCAAGGTGCCAGCAGGGTTGGTTGCAGATAGCCACTTCCTCGCTGGTCCCCACGTGGTCTTTCCCCTGTGAGTGTGCTCCCCTGATGTCCCTTTGTGCATCCCAAATCTTACAAATCTTTGTGTGTTCCTCATCGTGCAAGATCCCAGTCAGATTGGATTAGAGTCCACTCCAATGCTCTCATCTTAAGTTAACCACTCCTTAAAAGACTCAATTTCCAGGCAGACAACTTTGAGCATATCAACTTTGAGGCACACAGTTCAGCCCATTATACCTCTAATCTTGTCCAAGACCCATAGGGTACAGAAGGGGAGACTGAGACCACACAGCAGACCAGGGCTAGGGCCTGGGTCTGGTGCCATCCCTGTTGTGTGAATTGCCTTCTCTCCGGCAGAACTGGGGCCGTGGTTCCTCTGCTCAAGGACTCCTCACACTTACCCCTCCAGGGAATTCCCTCAGAGGGAGGACTGGGCATCCAGATTTGCCAAAGTCGTAAATCTCTTAAGCCATAAGCCGCTCCTTGGCGTCTCCCGAATGCCCTAATGTGAAATACAGATGTTTCTCCCTTTTAAGATCCCAGCGCACTGCTGAATTTCCCATCGTGTTTGCACCTAAGGATGCAATTACCGTTTCCTCCCATTGTCCTTTCTGCTTGTCCCTCTGCTCCCAGCTGACGCAGGCTCTCAAGCCCGCTGGGTGAACACGAGGCTACGAGCTCATGAAGATCGGACCGCGTTGGAAAGCTCTGAGTGGCTTGGGGCCAGCGATGCTTATCGGTCCCCCCAGGACTCCTTTGAGGTTATTTTCTTCTCTTCAGAAGATGCTTGTATATGCTGCAGAGAGCGTTTCCATCAATTCTTCTGCCTGAGCGAGCGCCAGCCGAGTGCTGTACTTGACCATGAGTCACTCCCAGTTGGCTCCTTCCCAGACCTGAGGGGCCACCTCTGGTGGGTGAGCCTCAAGACCCCTCCCCGAAGACTCCCAAGCCTTAGTGGCTCCCTGTAGATCCCGTGATGGGAACCCCAGCTCATCTTTTCACTTGGACCATGACCTTCTCCGCTTGGCCAGGGTTATTAAAAACCACAAGAAAGTACTTTCCTCCCCAAGTATTATAGAGCTTGAGTTTCTAAACTTGTTTTGGAAGGAGACGGGGACCAGGGCATGTGTTTTAGGTTTGTGGGCTTATGGCAGGCCTTAGATTTAAAGCATAAATTAAGACCTCTTTTCCACTAAAGGGAAAAATAAACGTTCTGATTGCTAAGCCCTTCCTACCCCTGGGTCCCTCTCTGAATCCTACACTCAGTCTCTCTCTTTGGGGTGTGGATGAGGGAAGGGAATCAGGTCCTGGACACAATGCTGGGTGGGTGGCATGCCCCCAGGGCTGTGTGCCCCCAGAGTCATGTGCAGAGTTGGGGACAGACCTGGACACCAGGCTCCCTGGCCTCACCCTGCCCTCCTGGAATTCGCCTCTCTGAGCTTTTTCCACATTGATAAAATAGACATGGTAATTCCTACTTCGGGCTAGAGGTGAGGGTGGGAGTGGAGGCTGGAGGGTTGAAACGACCCCCTGCTTGGTACAGGGAATAGCTCATGTACTGGGTACTGTGTGTGTGGCATAGCAGTCTCCCAGAGGGATTTACGCTAGGGTAGCTAAAACAAACAGTGTCCTAATAGTGGATTTTGCAGCATGGTAACAAACCGGTAAGGAGGGTTTTGAGACTAGGAGAGAGTTTTCTGCCTCCTGGTACTTAACACCTCACTTCCGACATGTGACACTTGCCGACCAGGACACTTTGGATGGTTCTGGTCCCTAGCACTGCTCAGCCCCAGAAATCCAGTTCTTTCAGCTTAAGGAATTTCTTTTGGCAAAAAGACTTCTCACCTTGTGCCTTTTTGAGGGACCCTATTCCAAGGGTGGAGCCACGTTGGTACCAAGTGGTGGGAGGGCACAGGCCTCAGAGATTGACTGCCTGGGTTCTCTGCTGGCCCCATTGTCCATGAGCAGAACACCCTTGGCAGGTCAGTCCCTTCTCTGAGCCTTGGTTTCCTCTCAGGAATTTAGGGGATGATGTGTATACAGTGTCTGGTGTAGAAGCTGTGCTCAGGTGGTGGCATCTGTTACTTTAGAACCTAAGGAGGCATTAGAGTCCGTTCCTCCCACTTAACAGACCGGCAGACTGAGGCTCCAAGGTGGAAGAGGATTCCAAGGTGGAAGAGGATTCCCCAGTCCCCACCATTGGTAGTGACAGTTGGGATGTGAATTCAGGACATTAGATTCCAAGCCCGGGGGCCTGTCTGCTGCATCCCACTTGAGTCATCATTCCCCGGCGTGGGCAGAGTGGAGACTATCATCCAGAGAGTGCAGTGACTGTACAGGAGGAGGCCTGGGCTCTAGCCCTAGTCCCATCCAGGCAGGAGTCCCCTTCGTGGAGGGCAATGAACACAGAGCACTCAGGTTCCCACCAGGTTTGGGATTCTGGGCCTCAGCCTGGAAGCTGAGGGGAGCACTTGGTCACACAGTGAGGGTTGCCGGGGCAGCCTGCTCAGGCCAAGATGTGCTAACAGCGCTTCTTCTCGTGTTTTTCAGCATCCGCCAGGACTTTGATGTCCCCACCAACTTCCTGATTGGAAGACACGGCTACTGCACACAGGTTAGGGAACCCAGGTGGTTCTTCACCTCCCTCTGTCCCACCCTTCTTTCTTGCCCTGTCAACACCCTCTAAACAGCTTTCACGTTTCACCTCTGCTGGGCTTCACCATCATGTCTCAGAGACCTAGAAAAGTCAGTTAAGCTTCTGTTTCTGGAGAATTTGCTGTGTACTACCTGTGTGCTTGGAGCTGCAGGGGAAACAAAAAAGGCTGGATGCAGACCCAAGTACGGCACAGCCCCTAGCCCCTGGGCTAGCCCCAGGAGCAGTGCCCCAGGCACAGGCGGGGGTACCGTGGGTACAGTTGACGTTTGTATAGGGCATTGTCCTTACAACAATCCTTCCCTCTGCATCTTCAGGAAGGAATCTCATGGGGCCTCATGGGGAGCAAGGGAGACCCTGAGCACAGTTGCCTGTCATCAATCCTCCCAGTCACCAGGTGACACAGGAAAGGGACCTATTCAAGATGCTGCCTAGTGAGCATCAAAACTGGGAGCTGAATCCTACGCCTGCTTCTTTCCATGCTTTCCTACCCCCAGAGTGGCCACTGGGCCATAGTGAAATCTGATATTCTCTGTGCCTTGGGGTGGACAGGCTGGACAGAGCCGTGCGGTCTTCTGGGCCCAGCTGAGGACCCAGTTGTCCTGGGGACCCTGGCTCACTTGTGCCTAGTTCTGAAAACCTACCTGGGAACCATGCAGGGACAAGTTTAGGTCCCGTGGTTTGTCCAGGTCACCCATACAGGGACTGTGGGGTTGGCTGCTGCCCGCCTTCCTAGAGCCAGGCCTCGGGGCCATGGCTGCTCATCTGACTGCCCTGGTGGCCCCACTTTCTCTCTGGGTACTTGTTTGCCCTATGGCAGCTTTGCCTTGTGGAGGGCAGAGAGGACTGCTGCCCAAGAGTGATGGCCCCCAAGGAGGATGCAGAGGCCGCCAGACCAGTGTCGGGCTGGGTTCCAAGCCCTGTTCTGTTGTCCTCACAGAGTAAGTGGGCATGGCGTTCCCCTCCCTGTACTTGTTTCCTCACCTGTAGAACAGGCATCTGGACTAGGCCAGGGCTTCTTAAGCTTCAAGGTGCATGTGCATCCCTGGGGGTCTTGTTGAAGAGCAGCTCAGATCCAGTGAATCTGGGCTGGGGCTTCCAGGGAGGGCAATACTGCTGGTCCACAGCCCATACTTTGAGTAGCCAAGGGACTAGATGACTGCTAAGCCTTGCCACTGTGTGATTTTTTAGTCTAGGGGAGGAAAAGGCCTTGTGCGCCCCTCTCCCATCTGTAGAAATCTTCCTACTGTGAGGATGGCTTTAGAAACCCCTCAGATCAGGGAGTAGGGGCCTTTTAACCCCTTCAAAACCAGATGGGAAAACTCAAACCCACCTGAAAAAGGCTGAGTCTTCCTCAGCAGCCACTGCCCCTAAGGTGCAGTATTTTAAAGCAGACATTTCCTCCAAATTCTTTTCTCATTTCCTCTGCAAGGACACAATGAGGCCCCTCGCTATTTCCCTTCAATAGGGGCTCCTCTGTGGCCTCTTTTACTGTCACTGGGGCAGGGGTGTTGGTGTCAACCAAGGGATTTATTAACCCCGACATTGTTTTCACAGTTCAAGGGAAAACACTTCTATAAACTGTGTTCTCCAGAGTTCACGCTGGCCAGAGGACTGCTTGGCCATTCCTGCATGCCGTGGGAGAAGGTGGGGGAGGCAGAGAGACCTGCCCTCGTGCTGGTGCTGGGCTCACGCCAATCCTTCCTCAGTGGCCCTGAGAGGCCACCCTTCATTTTGAATCTGTATCCAGACAGATGTCCCATGAGGGTAACAAGGTGGGGGAGAGGGCTGTGATACAGGACAGGGAGTCAGAGATGTAGGTGAAAGTTCAGTTCTGGCCTTGACAGGTTGTGTGACTTGGGCAAGTCCTTTCTCACCTGTAAGCCTCAGTTTCTCCATTCCTAAGAGGAGACCGGACCCCTGGGTATCCTATCTAAGGAAGGGGATTTCCAGCCATAGTGGTCCACCTCCAGTGTGGGAGGCTCGGGTTGAAGGTGACACCAGAGAAAAGGTGCTCACACGTTACTGCCTCTGGGTTCTGGGGTTGGTGTCCTTGTTGGATTGCTGGGCATGTGGCATGAATCACGGGGCCACCTAATGCCATGCAGCAAAACAAAGGCAGAGACAGAGCTAGAAACCAGACTTGGGCTTCTTGCCCCCACTCCCTGCTTCTGTTCTTCCTGCCCCTGAAGCACCTTGTGCTGCTCTCCCTCCCTCTATTACAACCCCACATCACTGGTGAAGTCTGAAGAAGGTCTGGTGTTTAGTTCTCGGTACTGTATCATGGCTGGCTTCTTGGTGGAGAATCATGTGTCCTGATTGTGTAAGATGTTATCGTTGTGGGAAGCTGGGTGAAGGGTGCAAAGGAAATCTGTACTATTTTTACTTCTTTTGAACTGAAATTATTTCAAAATAAAAAGTTTATTGAAAAAGTACCATCCTTCAAGGCCAGACCACATGTCACTTCTCCAAAGAGCTGCCTGACTGGTTATGTGGTCTGCACAGTGCTCTGCACACACGTGTTTATAGCCCCGGTCACACCCTGCCTTGTGCTTCAACATACAGGCAGGTACCTGACTGCCGTCTCAACCTGAGACCCAGGTCAGGAGCCTCACCCTCCCACTGGTCCCCCCAGCAACCCAGGACATAGGACAGTGTCCTTTGTACAGTCAGTGTTCGATGAGGGCTGGTGGAATAGACATGGGTAGGTGCCTAAAGTCACTTCGATGAGAAAAGTTGGCAACTTTCTCCCAGGCCTTGTGGGAAAGATAGAGTCATGGCCTCCTCTGATTTCAGGCTGTCTCCTCCTTGCTTTCCTTCCTTTTTCCCTTTTCTCTTGTTCCTGTCTCCCCTCCACCCTTTCAGTAGCTGATTCAGAGACTTGATGAGCCTTTCCCCTTACTTTCATCTACAGGAACTCGTCAATCTGCTCCTGACCGGGAGAGCCGTGTCCAACGTTTTCAATGACGTACTGGAGCTGGATTCTGGGAATGGGAACATCACAGTTCTCAAAGGCATTTTTTCACGCAGTGACATTGGCTTCTTATCTCTCTTTGAGCACTACAATGTGTGCCAGGTACCCAGTTACTCACGTTCTTCACAAATGGAGGGGCATGGCACCCTGGGACCCATGGAAATGAAGGACACAGGGAAGGAAAATACTCTGCAGTTCCTGGAGGCAGTGGGAATGTGGGTCCAGGCTGAATCACAAAGAGTTTGAGAAGAAACATAGCTTCCCTGCCATCGAGTACAGGCCCCTGATTCAGACCCAAAGCCAGATGACGCCATGTTCTGGGAAATAGTGTTTGAAAAGAGCTTTTAGGGATTTGTGGTGTGATTGTGGATCACAGAGAGACTACAGCTGGAGTGTGTGTCTGTTGAGGGGAAAGGAACTTGAGGGCTTAGGCCTTGCTTTAGTTTTCTAAGGCTGCTGCAACATAGTACCACAAGCTGGGTGGGTTAAAAAGTCACAGAAATTGTCCAGGTGCGGTGGCTCAAGCCTGTAATCCCAGCACTTTGGGAGGCCGAGACGAGAGGATTGCCTGAGCTCAGGGGTTCGAGACCAGCCTGGGCAACTTGGTGAGACCTTGTCTCTACAATAAATCAAGAAAAATTAACTGGGTGTGGTGGCACATGCCTGTAGTTTCAGCTGTTTGGAAGGCTGAGGTGGAAGGATCACCTGAGCCCAGCAGGTCAAGGCTGTGAGACTCTGACTCAAAAAAAAAAAGAAGGAAAAACCCACAGAAATTTATTGTCTCACAGTTGTGGGGGCCAGACGTCCAAGATCAAGGTGTCAGCAAAGCCGTGCTCCCTTGGAAACCTATAGGGAGAACCCTTCCTGTCTTTTCTAGTTTTGATGTTTTTTGGCAATCCTTGGTGCTACTTGGCTTATAGATGCATCACTCCAGTTTCTGCCACCATCTATCATCACATGACTGTCTTCTCCTGTGTGTCTTTTCTTATAAGGACCTCAGTTGCGTTGGAATAAGGGACTAGTCTATTCCAGTATGACCATGTTTGACCTCGCTATGCCCAAATAAGGTTACATTCTGAGGTACGGGGCTTAGGATTTCGACATAATTTTGGGGGGCACAGTTCACCCCATAACAGACCTCACTCCTCCTGTTTGCTAGTATATGGTCCCTCTGCATCCTGTCTCACTATGGCCAACGTCTCCGGAAGGGTTGGGCCCCCAGTGAAGCTGGACAAGCCATGGGTAACTATACCTCTGGGGAGCAACGGAAGGGGCTGGGAGCATTGGACATAGGAGCACTGGACCCCGCCCTCTTGTTCAGTTGTCATGGAACCTTCCCCCAGCCTCACTTTTCACGCCTTCAGAGTCTGTTGTTCTGGGATTGAGTCTATGAAGAGGGTTGTTTTGAGGAAAGCAGGAGCTTTTTATGGGGTGGCTGCCCCTGCAGAGATTCTAGATGCAACCTCTAGATGAGGGTCTGGATGCAACCTCACGCATCATGTGCCCCCAGAACTGGGACACAGAGACTGACTCAGCAAGGCATTCAGTACTAGGTGAATGAATTTGCAGGGAGAAAGGAGTCCGGAGTTTTAAGACAGGGTTCGCTTCATTCGTCGTTCCCATGTGATCACATGTCTGGGTGTGCTGTCTCTTGCTAACGAGCCATGTGGTGTGGCCCCATTCCCGGGTCCCCTCTCGTGATACCCTGGCATGCAGAGGGCAGACTTGGGGGCTCTGAAGACTTGGGGAGGAAGGAGTGAGAGCAGCTCCTTCCTGGCTGTGCTAGTGTCTGGGGGAGCCCAGGAATGTGGCTGGTGAGAAGCATCGGACCCTGCAGCATCCCACCAGGGTGTGCACGGAAAGTATTCAGCCCAAAATTCCACGGGCCAAGAGAGGTAACCTTGGCCAGGCTCACAGAATTCCCAGGCTCACCATGAGCCCTAGTTTCATTCTTGTTTTAAGGGCATTGGTCAAAAAGTAAACTATTTTCTTTTGGTCTGTGGAGGGTAATTGAAGGGAAATCAGTCGGGGTCATCCTTCCTTTGGGATAAAATGACTACTGAAGAAATGCAGGCCCTGCAACCAGCTCTTCCCTGTGGACGTCCTGGAGCCGTGTAGACCCTCTTTGCTGCTTGATGCTCTTTGGAGGGTGGGGAGTTCTGTGTCCCTGGATGAGAGGATGGTTTCTCCTAACCATGTGACTGAGGCTTACTACAGAAGGAGCCCTGGCCTCCTCTCCTCTGTGAACTCGCTGAGGTCTGGGCCTTCGTCTCTGCCTTCCCCTGAAGGCTCGGGCAGGGCCTGGCAGCTCAGACAAAGCACTTTTCCCTCCTTTAACACCACCTTTTGTCCCTGCTGTCCCTGAGTTCCTTTGGTCCTACACAACTAGCCTCATTGGACGTAGGAGGGGCCCAAGGGAGTTCAACGCCCAAGCCCAGACCTGGACTCAGGGCTAGGGCTCCTGCTCTGACCTGGCTTGTCGCCCTCCACTGGGCAGCACAGACATGGGCATGGGGAAGAGCCTAGGCCCTGACGGCCACAGCAGGGCTGTTCTGAGGCTGGAGGCTTTCACCTACATAGGGTTGAAAGGAGCACGCACTCACAGCCTGTGTCTTGGCTTCTCACTACAGTTGGGGCTCTGGGACCCTCGCTGAGTATATGCAGGGAGGAGGCTCTTTCTGTTAAGTGAGTTACTAGGACAACCTGCACTCAGGTGTGCCTGGAAGAACAGGACACTGGACCAGAGAAACTTGCTCCCCTGCCATAAGTGACCAGCCTCCTGCTCCAGCCTGGCTGCTTCCTGTGGGAGTTCCATGGGCCATCCGTGACCCCGCCAGGCTGGTCTTGCCCATCTGGCTTTCACCTCACCCTCTCCATCCTAGAGCTGGCCCAGATGAGGCTGGCTGTGAGGCCTGAGCTGCGTCATGCACCACAGATGGTGATGTGGGCCTGACAGGCCAGGAGGGGTAAGGCGGGGCAGGGAGTTTAACTTCAGCACACCTCCCATGACCCGTGGGCACGTTCAATGCTGTCTTCATGAGGGGACCCAAAGGGAAACCAAGCTTGACAGGAAGGCTCTGAAAGCTCCATCCTCCCCAGCCCCGTGAGCGGCGCCGCCCATCCAGCTTCTCAACCAGGAGCTCGTCTACTCCGTCAGGAGCCTGTGCGGCTCTACCCTCAGTTGCTCCTCCAGTCTCCATCTTCACCCTGGTCCAAGCCACTGGCATCACTGGTCTGGTCACCTGTGATAATCTAACTGACTTTGCTAGCTGTCCCTGCCCCCTCTCCAATCCTGTCCCTTCAGTGAAGCCAGTGTGATCTTTGAAAACATAGATTGTATCTGTCATGTCCTTGCTCAATATTCTTCATGGGTTTTTTGATCCTCGGAGATTGTTGTGAGCTGAATTGTGTCCTCCTAAAATTCCTGTGTTGAAGTCCTGACCCCCAGTACCTCAGCATGTAGATGTATTTGGAGAAAGGGTCTTTGGGGGGGGTGATTAATTTGAAATGAAGTCACTAATCTAACATGACTGCTGTCATTGTAAGAAAAGATTAGCACACAGAGGGGATACCTTGTAAAGATGCAGGGAGCAGGCTGCTATCTACAAGCCAAGGAAAGAGGCCTCAGGAAACAACCCTGGCAACACCTTATCTCAGACTTCCTGCCTCCAGGATTGTGAGAAAACACATTTCTGTCATTGAAGCCCCACAGTCTGCCCCACAGTCTGCATGCAGTATTTGGTATGGCAGCCTGAGAAGACTGATATGGAGACTAAAATCCAACCCTTCCCATGACCGACAGGCCCTGCAGTCTGTGCCTGCTTTTTCCTCTCTCAACTTGCCCCCTACTCTTTTCCCAGGCTCCAGCCTTCAGCCACACTTGCCTCAGCCCAGGTTCTCTCCCACCGTTGGGCCTTTGCACCTGGTGTACCCACCACATGCCCAGTGTTTCCTCCTCATCAAGTCTTGGCTTACATGCTATTCCCTAAAAGGGAGACGTTTCCTGCCCTCATCACTCCATCCAAGTAGGGGTCTCTTCTCCCAGTCCCCTCCCACCTCATCAGTCTCCATCAGAGGATCTTAATTCTTTCCTTCATAGGCCTCTTCTTGCCTTTCTCACATTTCACCACTTTTAAGATGCATTTGGGCATGTCTGCATGTCTGAGGTGTTCATGCATGATTAGTTGGTGGTGTGGCAGACTTGGTCAGCTTTCTTTCTTTCTTACTGATACATAAAGTAATGGCGAGTCTGATGGCATCTTAGGTTCAGGGAGGTGCAGCATACATGTACTTGTATGATTATTTGATCACTCTGTCGTCCCCTTCATCTAGTAAGCTCTATAAGGACAAGGCTGTTCTTGTTTCTTTGAGTGCTGTCTCCCCATTGCCTGGGACAGTTCTGGGGACAGAAGTGTACCTCATGTTGGATGCGTGTATACCTCTGCCTGCCATCTGCTGTTGATCCTTTTGAATGAGCCTCTAACCTGGCAGTTCATGATGGGGTCAGGACATTCACAGCCTCCTTAGAAGATCAAGAAACACCATGTAAAAGTCATTCCTACCTGTGCTGCATATTCACCCCCCAGACTGTGCTAGAGGAAATGTGGCCCCGCCTGCTCCTTGCCCCAAGCCCTTGGTTGCCCAAGAATTCAAAGGAAGTGAATTTCAGCTCTGGAAAATGTCACCCACTTGGAAAGGGGCTCCTGAATGAGAAAACTCATTTAGAAACTCTCTGGGCAGCTTTTCTGTCCTTAATCTTTTGACTGTTATTTATATATGGCAAGCTGCCCTCTTGTCCCTCTGCTGGAAAATTCAGGGTGGCTGATTATGCAAAGACCTGCTCTCTGGTTGGCTTCGGGGCTCCGTCCCTGCCATGAATGAGCTGGGTCCCTGCGTCAGGGCACCCTGTTCCAGGCGATGCCCTCACCAGAAAAGCTCTTTGGAGCAAGGAATGGAAGCCAAGTTTGCAGTGGGGTTTAAGCACGTCCAGCCACGTCCTGTAAGACATCTAATTCCCCCACATCCCACCAAGGAGTGGGCTGCACAGTCCATTTAATGTCACACAGAGCTGAGGTGAGGCCCTGGTGGGGAGTGGGAGGGACACAGGACCACAGGCAAGGGTTGAACACATTGTAAAGGTGGTCTCCCACCCTCTGGTGGAGGCGGCTTTTAATGGGCAGGTGTTACATTGGGGACCTGGTTCAGGCTCCTCTGAGTGCTGCTTCTCTGCCTAAGAAACCCCTAACCCAGAGTTAGCTCTGAGATGTCTTCTGTGACAGGCCCTGGAGAAAGTATGCCCCTCTCCCCACTGGAAAAATAATTCCCATTCTTTCTTTAATCCACAGGCTGTGGCTGTAAATACCTGAGCATGCAAACATCTCCCCAGGGCTGGTGGGGATTAGGCCAGAATCAGCCTGGCCTGTGGCACGTACATAGCTGAGTAAACCAGGCCCATGGGGGAGGGAAAGACACTCTCAAGGGAGTTGGAGAGGACTTCAGGGGCTTCACAAGGGGCCTTTGGTCACCCTTCCCCCATTGCAGGCAAGATGCTAGCAATGTGCTGAGGGCCCTGATGTTTATTTCCCAGTATCTGTCTTCCTCAAACACCCTTCCATCGTGACATTCCCCTGCTCCGAGCTTACAGGGACTCTCTTATCAGAAAAATGTCCATGGTCCTTATCCTGGTATTGCCTCATCCTAATCTTTCCCTGCCCGCTCTTCTGAAGGCCCCTCCATGCCCTAAATGTCTCTGGCCATTCATTCCTGGCACTCCCACAGACTGTTCTCCCAGACCTTTTCCTCCTGGCTTCCCATGCCTCTAGTCCTGCTTATATTTAAGGTACCATTCTTGTTCAAGTCCTGCCTCGTCCACAGGACCTTCATTTGTCAAACACGTACCTGTACCCAGTATGCTAAGGGTGTAGTTTAAAATACATGAGGCAGAGTGACGCACTGTGGTCACTAGGGCAGGCACCTAGTGATGGGACCTGTGGGAGCTGAAAGGAGGAAGCAATCCCTGCTCCCAGGATGGGTGATTTGGGCGATGCAGGCTCTCCAGGGGAGTGAGCTCTAGACAGGTAGAGAATGCAGAGGCACAGTTGGTGGCTGAAAGGCCGTGGAAGAATTGGTTAGGAGGTCACAGCCATGGCCCCGGTGCAGGGGGTGAAGCGAGGCTGGTGGGGGAGGTTTCAGACGAGGAATATGCAGCCCTGGGAATTACTGACTGCTGGGTGTAGAGGATGAAGGGAAGGGGTGGTGCCCGGGTCCTAGGACTGGGTGGCAGAGGCTCCACAGCAGCAGCAGGCCAGGGTGGCAGGGCAGAGGTGGCTCTGGGGAGGAGCTCCGTGGGGAGCACAGGGGGCTCCCAGTGTCAGACATAGGCATGATTCTTGGTTGGGCCTTTCTGAGGTCAGCCCTGCCATGGGTTGGACAGAAGGTGCCCTGGCCCTTTCCCTGAGAACGGCATGGCACATGGGGCCTCTCTGTCATCCAGGTTGGCTGCTTCCTGAAGACCCCGAGGTTTCCCATTTGGGTGGTGTGCAGCGAGAGCCACTTCAGCGTCCTCTTCAGCCTGAAGCTGGAACTCTTGCGTGACTTGAGGACCCAGAAGCTCTTTGACCTGTACTACTACGATGGCCTGGCCAACCAGCAGGAGCAGATCCGGCTGACCATCGGTGCAGCACCTCGTGCCATCCCCAGGCATCCTCAGGGAGCCTCTAGGCTGGTCACAGAAACCAACCTTCATATGACCCCTTGAGACAGTCGGAGGCCTGGGGGATCAGAGACCAAGTGTTAGCAGGAGGGGGCGAGAGCTGGGACTTTAGCAATTTTTAGCATTGAGGGTCTAAGAAGTTGAGACCACATGGTAGAAGGCACTGAATACTATTCTGACAGGTCTAGATGGATTATTCAGGGAATAGGGAGCCATGGAAGGTTTTGGAGTAGGAGGGTGGTAGCTGAAATGGGACACGGGTGGGTAGAGATGGAAGTGACAGGCCAATGAGTAGTCCAAATGAGAATTGATGCCAGGAATGGGATAGATCCAGTTGAGATGGAAAGGAAGGGACAGGTACCAGAAGGGTGGGTCCCAGGAATTATGGTTGTTTGTGCTGACCTTGGATGGTGCAGGCAGGGCCTTGGTTGATGTGTGTTTGCCTCTCTCCTCCCCAGATACCACCCGAACCATCCTCGATAACAGAGACAGCGACCTTATCCCACCCCTTGAGCTGTGTATCAGAACCAAGTGAGTCAGACCTGCTCTGGCTTTGAGCCTCACCCTAAGTGGTCAGGAGGTGTGGTGGTTGGGGGAGGTCAGACCTGTGGGGAGGAGGGTGGGTCCTGGATCCCCTTGATTCAGAGGGCGCAGTGATTGGAAAGACATAATGCTGAAGGCTTGTGTGTACGTAGGTTTTCCCACTGATGGCCACTGAGGCCCAAGCACAGGGTGGTATGTGTTCAGGTGGTGGGGTGGGGAATCCGGGTGCCCCTTCAGGGCCCTTCTTCCTTAAGACAGCAGCAGCCAGGTGTGGTGACTGCTGTTAGGCCAAGGGAGGCGGGACAGGTATGTTTGCCTAGGGGCAAGGGAGGCTTGAGCAGGCTGGGAAGGTGGGGTGGCCCAGCGAGTTGTAGTGGGAGGGGCTACACCTCTGAGTAGGGGTAAGGGGGGGCAGGAACAGCCTCCCCACCCTGAGCAGAGGCAGCTATTGCCTCAGGGGTGGGTGGGGTTCCTTGACTCCTCTAGCCCAGCCCCTCTGTGTGTAAGAGAAGGCTGAGGCTTGGCCAGGGAAGGGAGTGCCCAGTCTGTGAGGTGAGTTGGGGCTCTCTTCCCTCACACCCTAGGGCCAGGGCAGTACTCTGGAGGGCTGGTGGGGCTGTAACTGTCCGAAATGTCCAGCTCACTGCAGCAGGCCCCTCACAGAACCGTTGGGTGTGATGGAGAGACCTGGACTCTCCCTTCTTCTAGGGAAGCAGTGGAGCTGGTAGCCATCATGAGTGAGGGTTCTGGAGTCAGGCTGCCTGCGTTAAAAGCCTGGCCCTGCCACTTTCTGGGGCAGAACTCCACCCTTGCGTACCTCACTTTGTCATCTGTGACATGGGCTCATGGCAGCACCTAGCCTGAGGCTCTTGTGAAGAGTGCCTGGGATGTTACTAAGCACCCAGCAGTATTAGCTCATGTAATTATCATCTCGACCACTTGTGGGTTGCTGTGGCCTCAGGTGGAATCTCCACTTCCCTGCTTGTCACTTGGCTGGGGTCTGGCAGGGGATATGGACGATGGCCGAGGCCCTGCGGCACTGACTGACCTAGATCCAGAGGACACAGCCAGAGCTCAGGGTCGCACCTACTGCAGGAAGTGAGCCCCTGAGTGGAGCTGCAGAGAGAACTGTGTGCACAGTGGGAACATCAGGAAGGGAAGTGGGGGGGACATCCTCATCATGCCTCATCTTTCCATCCGTCCATCTGTCCATCCATCCATCCATCCATCCATCCATTCATCACTCCCTGAGCCAGGGATGAAGCATTTTTGCAGGGTCATGTGCGGGTGCTTCTTTCGTCAGGAGGATTAAGGGCACCTGCAGGTCACTTTCCTTTCATGTACAAAGGGCCACTCATTCAAAGTGATGAGAGAAGGGCAGCAGTGGGGAAGGGAAAGGAGGTGACACCGGCCTTGGCAACCGTACAGGACACTGTGGGAGGCCACAGGGTATCCATCCTGCAAGTGGGCACCCTGGACACAGCCTCTGCTTGCCTCAGACCCCTGGGACCCTCCCCGAAGGCCTCCAGCTGGCTGTCTCTGCACCCCTCCCAGTGGGTGGCCCATCACCCTGAAACCTCTCCACTGCCCCTTCTGGAGAAACTCCTCTTTCCCCAGAAACCATTCCACTGCGTGACTCACCAAGCACCTCCCAGCAAGGGCCAGGGATAGGACTTTTTGGGCTCAGCCCTAGGTGGCAGTTGTTTGATAATGACTTGGAGTGCTGACCTGTCCCCTAGGCAGCCCCTCACCCAGAGCTGGCATGGTGTGAGCTCAGTCCAGATTGAGAGTACAGTGTGGACATGGCGCAGAGCTGTCTCTTCTGTCAGCTTCCCCATCTCCTAGGACGTCCCTTCCCAGCTTCATGCCAACAGGTGACAGCCAGATGGTGCAGGAAACTGGAGGGGCTATATGTGTCAGAGAGTAAGCTCTAGGGACAGAAGGTCCAGAGGGGTGATCCCAGCATGTCCTTGGACTGTGCTTACCAGTCCTGGTTCCAGATGGAAAGTCATCCCACTTGCCTGGCACACAGGGCTAGGGACAACCAGCCTGGGACTCTAGTTGTCCCAGACCCCACCCAGGTCCCTGATGGCTGAGGGAGAACCCCGATCCATCTGTGGCTCACCTACTGGAAGACTTTCTCCAGGGCAGTAGGCCTCAAGCTTTAGGGGACATCAGAATCACCTGGAGAACATGTTCAAACAGATCATGGGGGTTCTGGTTCAGTAGGTCCAGGGTAGGGCCCGAGAATTGGCATTTTTCAGGAGTTCCCTAGTCATCCGGAGATCACACTTTGAGAACCACTGTTCTAGTGAGTGGTGCAGGCGGTACCTCTCCCTTCTCAACCCCTTCCCCACCAGCCCCAGTCGAATATCAAGTGAATCACTGAGCCTCCTGCCTCTGGCCTGCCATAAGCACTGGGCCAGGGTTGCTTTCTTCCTAGCTCCACTAGCACGTCCCCCTACTACCATCCCCCCAACCTCTGCCATGAGTGTTCTGTGTCTGACATAGCTGCCTGCCTGCTCTGCCCTCCCATCACTCCCAGGCATGGTGGACCCACCTCGACCCTTAACACCGTGAGACTTGTCCCAGCATTATTCCTGGACAAGCTGAGTGGGTGACCGAAGAGTGGGAATACTGGGTTCACCGCCCCTAGACCCATCAGATAACAGCACTCCCATCAGATAACAGCACTGTAATAGGAAACAGCAGGCCTGGGCTCCTGGAATTCCAGTCCGAGGAGTTGGATGACAAAGACTTTGCATTTTGTTTTCATCCAGAGTCTCAAACAGTTCAAAGGGAGAAACTTGGGAAGGTAGCCTCTGAGGTCAGTGAGGACCTGCTGGTAAACGGGTCCTGCCTCTTGAGGGGTGAGTCCTGCTGCCTGTAGGAAGACCTTGCCTTGTCAGGAAGTGGGTACACATGGTGCCATGGCCCAAGCTCAGGTCATTTCAAAGGCTGGAGTCAGACCCCAAGCCCCAATGAGCTGCATCTGTGTGTCCACGGCGCCCCTCTTGCTGGATGGGCGGCGCAGCAGGGGAGACCAGCCTGGAAGGCAGGCAGGGATTTCTTCCCATCATGTCCACCCTCATGAAGCCCCTGGGTTGGACTCCATGGAGTCCAGCTGGATAAGACTTGGTTCCTGCTCTCACAGAGTTTGCAACCAACCAGAAGACAAGTTCAGAATCAACTCTATTACCATCCAAGGAAAGATGTACCACTTACCCAAACCCAGCTCTGTTGCCCTGCAAGAACCCACATCTGGCCCAGCATAGGGCATCCCACAGACCTGGCCATCTGGCAGCTTGCTTGGGTCCACATAAAGGCCTTTGGACATCATCTGGTCTAGCCCCTTCTTTTACAGAGGGGGAGATGGGGATCTCCAGAATGGAGGGCTGTGCCCCAGCCACCACGACCCGAGTCATGAGCTCCGGGGACTGCAGCTTGGGCCCTTGCTGTCCCACCCCAGTGAGAGGTCACAGAGCGGGTAGTGTCACTTCCTGCCACCTGGCTTTGTTACCACAATGACATTGCACAAACCCAGACTGCCAGTTTTGCCTTTGGAGAAAAGAATCCTAATTTGAACCACCCCCGGGTCCTTGTGCCCTCTCTGTGCCTTGGTGTGACGCACGTCTCAGCTTCGAAGAGTCTCCTGTTACCTTTGCTTGTGTCAGGAATGTGGGGTCTGTCCCCTGCCCCTTCCCCCTACTGTTCTCTAACCATCTCAGCAAAAACAGGCTCCTTTATGGTCATTTCCAAACAAGACACACACATGACCTCTCTCATGCTTCCAACCTAGCCAGAGTGAGAAAAAGAAACAGTTGTCAACAAGCCAGAGAAAAGAGGAAAGAACTCATAACCGGGCCCTGCGGCTGGGGCACAGATGTTTCTGTTTGGAGGCTCAGACAAGAAATTGAAAATGTAATTTAATTCCAGCTGGGAATGGTGCCTTTGAGGGTCTGGGGCTGAGCACCCGCCTTCCCTAGTTGTCCCACACCCTCTGAAGATGCCTCCTTCTCCAGCGTCCATGTTGACACCTTCTTGCCTAGGCTCCTGTCCACAGTGCCTCCCACTCATCCAACAAGCATCCCCTGGGTGCCTGCTTGCCAACTGCACCCCAGCCCTTCTCTCAGGTGCTCTGCTGCCCACGCGCCTGCTCCACACCAGCTCTGCGGTGGTCATGCTGTGAATTCCACAAGGTCTAGTTCTGCTCTAGGCTCCAGTTTCCCCATCTCTTGATGGGGTCTAACAACCCCTCAGCTGCGCTGATGTGAGGTTGAGAGCAGAGCTGCAGAAATTCTCTCTCTCTTTTGAGGATCCTGAGGGGCTCTACACATGCCGGGGAGGAGAAAGAATCAGGTGGCAGCAAGTTTCTCAAGAGAGAGCTCGGAAGGGGCAGGAGACAGTGACAGCAGCCACAGGTGTGAAGGAGACCAAAGTTTCCCCACTGGGTGTCTGGGTGGGCGTGAAGGGACGTGTTCATGCAACGCCTCCCCCCTCTCCGTGCTTCAGCTGTGGGTGAGACTAGCTCTGCCCTGGAACCAGGCCTGTGTGTCAGGAGAGATCCCCAGGACTCCAGGATCTGCTCTGGAAGGATGGGCGAGGCAGGGCACAGCATGGGTTGAGGCCCTCAGGTGAGTCTAGGCTAGCCCCCGGGGCTCCTGGTTGCAGTGACTGGAGAGCAGGAACAAAACTTGCACACCAGCTTGTTTGTCTGGAAATTTAAAGCGAGCAGGAGACATCTCTGTATTCCTACTGGTCGGGAGCTTTGGAACCAGGCCTGCCCTCTTCTCCTGGCTGATCCAGGCCCTGTCAAGCATCTCTTCCCATGAAATATACTGCTGTGTCTTCAGTGTTTAAAACCACTGAGGCAGGTAACTGCCTCTCTGTTGTGCTGATGGCCCCATGGGGGAAAGGGCCTCACTTGTGGCCATGATTGACCCTCTCCATGGTGTTGAGTGGACTTGAGCTCCAGGGAGCAACTTTATATTCCCAGGGTTAATTGGCAATGTGTGGGGAAAGTTTTCGCTGTCACAACCCAGGGAGAGAGTGTTAAACATCCTACAATGCACAGGACAGCCCCTACAACAAAGAATTGTCCAGCCCCAAATGCCCAAGGTGGAAGACTGAGAGACCCCACCCTAAACTGTCATTGTCACCTCTGGAATTAGCCTGATGAGTGAGCCGGGACTTTGATGCTGCCTCACCCTCAGCGTTTCCATTTCACCTCCTCTTCCTCTGCCTGTCCCTAGTTGTTGGTTGCATATGCATTGTCTTTGTAACTGACACAGACTTTCAAGAACCATTCCAACTGGGGAGAGATTCATCCACTGTGTAAACATAACATCCATCTTGTCTCTCCCCTTTCCATTTTTAAAATGTCTGTGCTTTGATCTTCTATTGTAATTTCCAACTGCTTCTCTCTGGTGCTTCCGGTACTCTCCTCACATTTGCACCTGTTGGCAGGGATGGGGAGGGTTGACAGTAAGACTCAGTGATGGTAGTGTGCCGCGAATGTTGTCTAGCGGCAGATGAGTACATCTCACCCTGCACTGAAGCATTTTGCCAGGAGCTCACAGGACAAACCTCAGTCTGCCTGTCAGAGTGAGGATGGTAAAGGTTTGGAAGGACAGAGAGGGATGAGGTGAAGGGCTTTGGGGACCAGGTTGAGAGCAAAACTGTTGCCGTCCTTCCTGCCTCCCTTCTGCTGCCTTGGGGGTCTGGACTCAGGATTTGTTCCTAGTGTCCTGGACTTCAGTGCTTACCCACAAAACTGCAAAGATGATGAACAGAGAACAAAAGGTGAACCTCTCAAATGGTGTGGCAGAACTGATTAGAACCTCACTGCTGCAGATTGCTAAAGCTCTGTCAGCCCCGGGACATGCAACAGATGAGCCCAGCCCCTGGGAACCTGGGTTCTGCATAGTGCCTGTTTTGCCTCCAGCGCCTGCTCAGTTGTGTAAGTCAGAGCTGTGGTTGTTTTTCCTGTCGGTTGCTACCTTTGCTTGTTCAGGAGTGTGGGGTCAACCTGTAGCAGCTCCCTGGCAGTGTAGGAGGTGCACACTTACTACCCAGTGGAGTCTGACGTCTCCAAGCCAGGGCAGGTTGTCTCCAAGTACAGTCCAAGGTCTCTTGTTTGAGCAGTGAAGATGATGAATGCTGTGATGCAGATAAATTCCATCGAAGTGGCTGAAGACGCTTATTGGATTCCTCTGCAGCTGCTGGACACACAGAAGCTTAGGAAATAGTCTAAAGCATTCAGAATCCCTTCATTCTGCCACATCCAGTGGATTGAGTGGTGCTGGCCTTTTCAATTCACATGATGAGTTTGGAGGGGCAGGGTTGGTGGGTAAGCACGAGAGTGTTATGGTGCATCTCTTGTCACAGACTGGGCTGGGAATGGAGCCTAGTAAGTTGGTTCTTCCTGAAAGATCTCTTTTAAAAATTTGTGCAGATATTTTTGCACATCCAGATCTGTTTCTGAGCATTCATGACCAGAAGGATCCCACGAACCAAATGGCTCGGGTGGCACCTCGGCCTTTTTTGCAGGAAGGAGAGGATCATTGCCAAAGGCCATGCCCTCCCATTTCGGTTGAGATCTTTTGGCATTACTGTACAATCACCAAATGACACTGAGGAGAATGCAGAGACAGTTTTGGAAACAGTTCCCCTAAACAGCATGACATTTGTGACTGAGCATGTTTTCCAGCGTTTTAGCCTTTTATACCGAACATTTTTTAACAAGAAGATCCAGTTTAATGTTTGTATATGGACAAATCACAATTTCTTAGGACATTGATTGGGGAGCACAACCTAGGGCAGGACGGCATCTTGTGTCTAGACTGTGATGAGCATTACATCCACATGTTCCCTGTAGGTCATGGACAGCCTGCCCTCACAGTGCCCTGGGTGGAGCTGGGAGGAGGATGATAGTTAATTGTTCCCCAATGTGCTATATGCAAATGCCATCCTTCACACCAGACCTTTCTGTGGGAGCTAGAAGCACAGAATTGCTGCTGAGATGTTTTTCTCCCAAGTGACTAGAAGTCTTTTTGCTCATTTAAAGAGAAGTAGGATGATGTAAAGTATAAAATATGAAATAGAAACATACAGTCTTTACAGATGTCAAGAAATTGTCTGTACGAAGAGGAAAGTAGGCTGGAAGATCAGAGTGAGGATGAATCCTGCTGCCTCTGGAAGAGTGTCACTTTTAAGCTAAAAACCAGAGACCCTGATGCAGCCATTGAAGCAAATCCCTGACTTGAAGAAAGCCAAGGAGCAGATGCCTGGAAGGAAGGACATAGAAGTTCAGCAGTAACCTGGGTTACATCATGAGGATGGAGAAGAGTGCATTGAGGATTAACCATTGATGGGGCCCTCCCAGGGCTTCCAGGCATTCTGTTGGGAAATGCAGCTCTGGTACTTTGGGAAAAGCTGCTCCCTCCTTTGCATTGCAGCTCCACCCTCTGGGGTTCTAGACTTTCCCGTGTAGGTACCATTCAAACGAGAAGGCTTCCCTTTTTTCCTTCTCTGTAGCAGCTAGGATTTTGACTTCAGTCTGAAGAAAAATTTCAGGTTTTGAAAACAAGACATCTGCTCCCTCCCCAATATGCTATGAAATATAAATGCTTTGAAAAGTATTTGTGAATTCTAGTCTCAACGTCTGCACCATAGTACTGAGATCGGCAGCCTCTTTCTCCTAGTTCATATCATCTTAGGATATATGTAGATGTATAATATCCCAATGCCAGCTTTTACATAAATACCTCATCTACTAAATATGATCCCTCTGAATTGTTTTAGAGAATTAGCACCATGTATTAAAATCAAGTGTTAGGCAATTTCATAGTCTCACCTACAATAACTTTTATTTTGCAACTGAACGTTATTTTGTCTAACCCTGGACTGCAGTTCCATTATGCTCCATACTTCTTAAGGTAAAGTTATTTTTTATTTTAATTTTTTGAGTTGGAGTCTTACTCTATCACCTAGGCTAGAGTGCAGTGGCATGCTCACGGCCACTGCAGCCTCAACCTGCTGGGCTCAGGTGATCCTTCTGTCTCAGCCTTCCAAGTAGCTGGAACTACAGGCGTGTGCCACTGCTTGTAGAGACAAGGTCTCACCAAGTTGCCCAGGCTGGTCTCGAACCCCTGGACTCAGGCAATCCTCTCGTCTCCACCTCTCAAAGTGGTGGGGTTACAGGCATGAGCCACCGCGCCAGGCTCGGTAAAGTTATTTTTAAAAAATCTGTTGTGTCACTGCTTAGAGCCCTTCACTAGCTTCCTGCTGTTCTCAGAATAAAATTCAGGGTCTATATAGGGCCCTGCCAGCTCCCAGCCTGTCTCCCCATCTTTCTGGGCTCAGCCATGGGGCCTCCTCTAGTTTGAACACTCCAGAGTTTCTTCATATCTCGGTCTGCATAGGTGTCTCTAAAAGGCCCCGTGACTGGGTCCAGATATATGGATCCCCCATGTCAGTGGAGGGTCCAGTAGGACCAGGTGTGGAGTAAGCCATGGCCTGGAAGAATGAATCACCTGGTACCTGTCCTCTCCAGTACTCCCGGGGTCCCGGGTGTGTTTGTGTTTCACAAGGGACTGATGTGTGAACTTCTGTGTGAGTGTACAGGGGTGAAATGGGCAGGCTGGAACCTGCATCCTCAAAGCTCCAAGGCGCAAGCTTTAGAGTGTAGGTGCAAGAGCTGGGCCCTGGCCGCTCTAACTCTCTCTCATCACTCTGCCCTTAGGTGGAAGGGGGCGTTGGTGAACTGGAACAACTCAGACCCCATCCTGTGACCCTGGCCAGGCCTCAGGGGGCCTCTCTGAGAAGAGCATCACCCCCACTGAGCCAGCATGGCTGCTGAAGCACCCAGAGCCTCCCAGCCCCTTCTGTGAGAGGCCCGCACAGGATTGTGGTGGGGGCCCAGTGTGTTGCTGTATCTCCTCCTGGCTGAACCGTGACTACCAAGGACCAGAGGGAGGCTACTGCCGCCTCTGCTGCCTCTGTCTGCACTCCTCCCTTGTTCCCCTTGGGTCATCCCCTTGCCAAGGCTTCTGCCATGGTTGTCCCTGGGACCGTGGGCATGGTTATTTCTGGTAGTTGGCTTCCCATAAAAACAAGAGTTGAACCCAGGCCGAGGGCTGAGACTCGTTTGTTCTGTTGTTGCAAAGGGAACACGAGGTCTGCACTGATCGTGGCAGCCTGTGGTGGGATGGTGCTGGGTGGAGGGCCGAGAGCCCAGGAGGCCCATGGGCTGGGATGTCTCCTAACGAGGGTCCAGTGCATGATGGAGGAGCCCTGAGGCAGAGCACCAGCCTCAGGGAGCATCCGTCACATGGTTGTCCATGTGAGAAGCTCTGAACAGCATCATGGCAAAGCCCCAGGAGCCGCCATCCCTGTGTCCACCCCGTCTGCCCCATGAGCACCGAGGCTGTGGCTCTGAGGGGGCCAGCCATGCAGAGGTGGGTGTTTACAAACGGGGACCAGGGATACATTCCTGCTGTGTCTGCCCTGGCCTAGGGAGGGGCTGGGAGAGTGGTGAGCACTGGACAGCAGCCACTGGGCTCAGGACACAAGCAGCAGGAGGGCTGGGTTCCCTCTGCATTGCTGGCTAAGGAGAGAGCCCTTCTTTGTAGATGCCAGGCACGTAGGGGCAAGACTGGCGTTCGGTAGTGGCAACTAAAGGGCTTGCCTTGTGTTCCTGAGATGGGGCACGTGTGCCGGCCTGTCAGTCTTTGGGGAGAGGCAGGGAGGAACTGGCCAGGCCGGGAGGGATGCAGGAGGGCGGAGTGCTCTGTCCTGCCCGTGTGAGGCCCCGCGGGGTTTGCTGTGTAAACTCCAGCAGCCATTCACAGTGGGCTTCCAGCAGAAATGCTTCCTATATGTCCCTGGAATGTTTATGCATTTGTTTTCCTTGGCTGGGGACAGGCCGCCCCGCGGAGGAAGTCGGTTTCCTTGCTGCAGCCTTGTTTATCAGCCTGGGGAGGAAAAGTGTGTCTTTTCAATGAAACTCACTTAACCTCCTGACCAGGGTCCCTTTGGCAGGCCCGGAGAAAACAAACCATTCCCAGTTGCTTGAGAAGACCGGTTCCAACAGCTGACAAAGGCGCTTTTCTAGAAGCCAAATTCACCCAGTGTGACACCCCTCGCCTAGGTCTTCCTGGAACGGAAGAGCAGAGCCCAGCACCGCACTCCCCCAGACCCAGACACTGCCACAAGTCCACGGTGCTGCTGCCATGCCTCCGGGAGCCAAATACAGGCTCGGGCCTCCCACGCGTGGGCGTTCTTCACCCGGGGTACAGAGTTTTCAAGGAGACCGTGGGTAGGCTTCAGAGGGTCCAGAGCCCCCAGATTATATTAACTTTCCCCCTCCCGCTACAGTGGCCATTTGGGAGAGAGAGTTGTGGTTGGTTGATTCCATCTTTCCCCTTTGTCCCAGGAGTCTTCCCCAGACCCTCAGGCTGCCTCTGGCTCTGGGGAAGAGGGGCAATACCGTCTTACCTGTTTTACAGCTGTGCTGGGTGTGGCCCTCTGATGGGGTATGGGGCAAGGTGGCTCCTTTTGTAAGGGGCCCTCCCATCACTGGGGATCTCTCCAGGGTCAGGTGGTCCATCCTCAACTTCTGCTGTGGCAGACCCTCAGGCCTCTGCTGGAGCCAGCCTTTCCTGCACCCTCTCTTCGGAAACCCCGAGTCTTCCTTCTGCAAGAGCCACACTTGAACCGTACAGCACACCAACACATCCTTGTCCCCCAAATCCTGGAGGTTGGACCTTTCCCACTTGGCCTTGTCCACTTCACCAGAACCAGCACTGCCTCTGCTTCCCACTCTTCCCTTCCCCATGGAGTCGGGCTGTTCCTATGAGTGTGTACCCTGAGGTACACGTCAAGCTTCCAAGCGGTTTTCTTGAAGCCCACCTCACTTGGCTTAAGGAGCAAAGATGTATCCCGTCTCCCCCCATGGCTGGGGGAGGGGAGCCCAGCACACTGATGCTTCTCTCCAAGACTTCCTCACTAGCTCCTGGCCTCTTCAGCCGCCAGCCCAATGCTTTCCTCATTTTCTCTCATGGACAGAGGGACAGGGACAGACCAATGTTGGCACAACCATTCACACCACTCGCTGAAATTTCTTTATGGAGGTGGCACAGTCAGAAGAGCAGTTTCCAGAAATGCAAGAGTTCCCTGGGGGTCAGAGCTGGGCCAGGCTTGGAGGATCATGGGGGCTCTCCTGAGGCTTCACCTGACAGCTCCCCAGGGTCTCTATGTCAGCGCCCAAAGGGCACACGGGATGGGGGCAGGATCCGGCCCACCCACAGCACTGGCCCTGGTAGAGGGCAGCAGTAGCCCCACCTCCTGTGAGGACCCGGGATGGTGAAGGGCCAGATCTCCGAGAGGCTTCCGCAGGCCCTCGGCTCTGCTAAGCCAGCCATGGCAACAGCAGGACTCTTCTGCCCCAGTCTAGGTTCGCTGTTGCCTCCTCCCCCACCCCACCCAGGAAGCACTGAAGGGAGGTGTGAGAGGCCTGCAGGCATGTGAGGACACGTATGAGGCTGCATTGACCCCACTGCTGCCCACCGGTGTGGTCGCGAGCATTTGACTGAAGTTCTCTGAGCCTCAGTTTCCACATCTATAGAATGATAACCTCCTCGAGCTGTGGTGAGGATTAAATGAGTTAAAACATTGTGAGGCTCTTAGAACAGGGCCTGGATTTGCATGGACACAATGCACGTGTGCTCCTCGCATTTCCAGTGGGGCTGGAGAGGCTCTTGGAGGAGGGGGCATCTCAGCTGAGCCTTGGAGGACAAGGAGGGTTTTGACAAGTGGAGATCTGGATGGATGATCATTCCAACTGGAAGGAGCAGTTACGCAGAGGAGACTGGCAGACACCATCTTCTGAGTGGCCAGAGCATGGGAGGCCTGGAGGACTGGGAGTGGATGCAGAGCGCAGGTGAAGGCCTAGATGATGGACCTGGGCTGGGACATCTTCCCTGGGAGAGGAGGTTGTCTTAGAGGGCTGCTTCAGACCTCTCTTCCCCGCATGCAGTGGGTCGTGGGGCAGAGGCAAGGAGCACACGGAGGGCTGAAGCAGGGTCCCCAGGGAAGGTGGTGCAGATGGAGAGGTAAGGAGGGCAGGGGAGTGAAAGACCCTTGCTGCCAGAGGAGGCTAAGCGGGTGATCCTCATGGAGGCCACGATCCCTTAGGGGACCCTAAAAGTTGCAGAAGGCGCCCAGGCTGCCAAGCCTATTTGCAGGTATTTCTCTCCACCCACCAGAGTCCTTACTCCTCCCTAATCATGTGCTAATCCTCAGGGACTGTGGGAGCTGTAATTACCAGGCAAAAATGCCAGGCATTTGTGATAATGGAGATTGCTTAATGCATATCCTGGGGTGAGGGGGTGGGCTGACTGGTGGGTGGCGAGCGGAGGGGCAGAATGCCACTGTGCCTGCACACTGGCAGGGAGTGCGTTCCCAGCAGACCTGCTAAGCACGGAGAGAGGCCGGGCCCCTGGTGGGGCTTGGCAGTTACGAAACCTGCCGGGGGACTTTCTTGACCTTCCTCTTCTTGCCATCTCCGAGGTTGCAGTAGTTCATCCCATTCTCCTGTCCATAGTCCCACAAAATACCCATCCTGTGTCCTGTTCCTCCAGGGAAGTCACCAAAGGTCTTCTCTTTACAGATAAGGAAACTGAAGTCCAGGCAGGAATCCTTGGGTAAGAGCACTCCTGAGGCATTTCTCTTTCACAGGGGTCTCTTGGAGACCAGACTACCAGATGGTCTTGGGGCTGGATGGGAGAAACCTGACTGGAGGCCGAGGTGGAGGTGATTCCCCCTGCCTCTGTATCTCCCTGCCAGCCTCCCCCTCCAGCGCTAAATTCCACCCACCACAGGCCCCAGCAGCACTTCCCCAATTGCCTAGTGTCCTCTGATGCACTTGGATCCCTGTCCTCTGGTTCCCCAGGTCTATCTATCAAATCCCGCCCATCCCACGAGGCAAGCTCTAAGGCTCCTCCTCTAAGAAGCCCTCCTGGATCGCCCAGCTGAAAATGCACATCCTACCCTCTGAGTGCCCACAGGACTCAGTCAACTTCTCTTTCATAAGCCCAGATCCTAGTTGGATCTGTAGGTCACAGATTCCCCCTATTGTCACATACACACCTCTACACCACATGGTGCTGTTTCCTTAGCCTTGGTCCTGGGGCTCCTCCCTCCCTCCTTTCCCAGGCTCCGGTGCCATCCTGGGGGACAAGCCCAAAGCTTACTCCTCCCACTTTGAGGGAGCCCTTCCTCCACACCCCCCCTCCCGCTGGCTTATGTGCCAGCTGGGTGTTAGGGTGGGGAGGTGCCTGAGGTCTCTGAACCGTTGGTTCTGGGTGTGGTTTTGAGATTAAACCTGGCGCCTTTCCTGCGGCCCCTGATAAGGGTGATCCTGGGTGCTTATCTGGCATGTTCTGTTTTAAGGCCTGTTGACATTGTGAGGTTCGGCGAGGTCCCACCTTCCTGTGGAGCCCGCGGTGATAAGCACAGCGTAGTGCCATGCTTGCCCACCTCCCCGTGGCCTGCTGGGTGCCTAGTGTTGGCACTTGGGACATCACAGTCAGCACAGGCCCTGGGCCCTGCACCTCACCATCCCAGCACAGAACTGACCCTGAGGGGTGCTGTTAATAATTATATCAGGACAATTGTGTAAACAAAAACTGCTGTGCAGGAGTACCTTAGTCTGAGGCAGGATTGTTTTGATATTGATTGATCTCCCATCACCCAGTTCTTCAAACTCCCGGAGCCAGAGGCCTCTTGGATTTTATTCGGGGCATAGAGCTCAGAAGAGGGGAACCTGTGTGGGCTGGAGCAGGCAGGGAGGATTCCTGGAGGGGGAGGATTGAAGTTAGACCCAGAAGGAGAGTAGTAGATAGGGATCGGGGGCAGAGGGTATTCCAGGTGGGATGGGCAGGTTCTGGGCTGTTGGGGGCAAGGGGTCTGGTAAGTCAGGGGCGGCGGGAAGGTTAAGGATGTCAGTATTGGATCCTGAAGGGCTTTACCAAGCTAAGGAGCTTGAGCTGTGAGCACTGAGGAGCCACTGAGGGTTTCAAAGCAGGGCAGTGGTGAATTCAAGCTGTTTCAGAAGATTGACACGGCAA